ATTTGGAAACAGAGAAACATTCTTAGGATGTTCTGTCTATTTTTGTCCAATCATCTTTCCAGCAGCCTACAGCCAACCTGGCTTCCTATCCTTCAATGAAATCCCAAGGGAAGACACCCAGAAGGAATTCCTCTCATGTATCTTAAATAAATAAATAAATAAATAAATAAATAAATAAATAAATAAATAAATAAATAAGAGAACATGGACAGCCAGGGAGGCTACAGAGGGATGCAACAATATGTCACAGAAAACACAACAGGAAAGTCAGCTCAAAACATCATCAAGAGAAATTCTAAAGAAATCTTCAAGCACCCAGAGAATAGAATAGAAGAATGGGAATCTTTCTGACAAGGAAAGACTATCAGAAAATGCAAGGCAGATTTGGTTGTGGCATTACTACAGTCCCTGAGACGGATGGCCGCTGCACACAAGCAGATTCGCCTGAAGGCTAAAGAAGCAGCCAAAATGAAGTGGGGTGGTTACTCCAATCCAGAGAGCAGAAGGTGATTCCACTTTGTAGATATGCTTCAATGGAGGGGATTTGGCTGAATCACCCCATCAGAGCTTTATACAAGCCTGCTAGGAGCCCATTGATTTGGCGTGATCCAGCAGAACAACAGAGACAGGGGGTGTTGTTTTGGGTTTTTTGACACAGGATTTCCCATTTGTAGCCTCTTGATGATTAAGCAGACCCATTAAGGATTTTACAGAATTCAGGATAGGGCAGAAATTTATTCCATTCCATGCTTGCACGTGCTAGGAAAAGAGCCCTGCTGTTCAAGCAAAGGATCATTTAGCCAGCACCCTGCTTCCAACTGCAAATAGACAAATGCCTCCTGAAAATTTAAAGCAGAAACAAAGACAGTTGATGGAATACTGCCCTTGAAGATGGAAGCTCAATTTAGCTGCCATAGTGGGTAGCCCTGGAGGTTCTGGCTACCCTTCCATAGGTTTTAATATAATTGGCCAATCCCTTTTAAAGAAAAGTCAGCTCGTTTTCTGCTTTGATTCCTAGCCCCAAAATGCAAAAGTGTATTTTTGCAGCATCATACTAGCCGGGGAAATATCTGCTGTATCTTTTTCTTAGCTATTTCAAAAGGCCAAGGTGGGATCATGAGCAGATTCAGATCTCCAGCAAGCCTAACAACCTCTAATCTTTGCCTGTAAAAAAATTAATTAAAATATGTTCTTTGGAAGGGGATATAAAACATCTTTGCTTATTTTGGAGTTTTGAGAAGGTCCTCCACCTATTCGACTAAGAGCTTGATCAGCATTTTGAAAGCAATCAAGTTATTTCCTGGATACAAAAGATTCACATAATCATATCTCCCCCAGCAGTTCAGATTATGATATAGACGCACAGAATAGTAGGAAGACATAACTTCATTTATAGATTGTGGTGAAGTGCAGGAGAACAAGAGGGGAGAAGACAAAATTGGCTTTCCCCTTCAATTTTCAGAAGATGCCTCTGAAAGATGAGAAGGCCAGAATCTCCAGGCTGAGAACATCCACACACTTTTCTTTACTTTTCCTGTTGTTATCTAGAAATCATCCTGTACTATAAAAATAGGGATACATCTGGGAACTGAATGGAGTAAGATTTCCAAAGTTGGCTTCTCTGATTCCTTGGGGCAATGTGGAAAAGATTTGTGGGAAGAAAAATAGCAATAAAAAGAAAGTTACTAGGGGCAGGATGGGCTTAAAAGCAACCACTCACCCAATCATCTCTAGCAAGTTAGTATTGTCTCCAGCCAACCATACAGGAAAATATTTGGAAACAGAGAAACATTCTTCTCTCTTTCTCTCTCCCCCATGCCATCCGCCTCTCTAGGGTCTAGAAACTTTTGTGAACTTATCTGCAAGGCCGAGAGTCAACCTTTAGCATCAAACCAACCGGGGAGAAACATATAGAGCCCATCTTACAATATTTTAAAAAACCACCCTCTCAACTTCTGTGCATCATAAAGCTCTCTCTGCAAAACAAGCATAAAAATATCACACACACATTTGGGCAATTACTTCCAAGCTCTCTTAGGGCTAAAAAGCACATTGTCTTAGGAGGATAGAAAGAAAGGGGAAGGAAACAGCATCCTTAAAGTCGTCCATCTTTTGTCCCCTTCCCCAACCCCTTCTATGAAGTGTCTTGTGCCACTGGGAGATTTAATTAATAAGTATAACCCCCCCCCCCTTTCCCATTAGTCATCCCTATCTTTCCTGCATTTGATTGCCTAATAATAATAATGATCGCATTCCTCATCTTGCATACCCCATCCCTATTGGAGTCTCATGGGTAACTTACACAGGCGCATCATGCAGTTCTCTCCCCATGTGCCCACCCCCAATAACCCTACTTCAGTCTGTGTAAATGAATGAAGCAGTTCTTGCTCATCTGCTCCTCAGATAAGTCTATATACAAGCGTGTGTGTGTGTGTGTATTAGCACAATGCAAAAAGCTAAGCTGAGGGGTGTTTTGTATGATTCATATTTGCAATCTAGATTGATGAAAGTTGCGAAAAGAGGGAGGGGAATTATTGTTCTTTCCCCTCCTACCCCCATCACCACCACCACCACTGTTGAAGGGATTTTACATGGTGTTTCATCCACTGGGATTTCCTAACAAGGAAAAAGAAGGAACTTGGAGTTGATTTTCCAGATAAACAAGCAAAGCACACCACTAAAAATATCTCTGCCTACAACAGCCCCCACCTCACCGCAGCTACTCTGAAATCAAAATATGCACAGCTCAAGGAAAGAGGGAGAGAGACAGAGACAGAGACTATGAGAGAAAGACAGACTCTGGAAGCCAGTTTGGCACAGCAGACAGGGTTGCAATTAAATGTGTGTGTGTGCGCGCGTGTAACAATTTGAGTCTGGATGATTTTATGTAGGGCAACTATTTCCAAAAGGTCATTTTAGGCACACACAGAGACATGAATTTGTGTGTGTGTGTGAGAGAGAGAGAGAGCGAGCGAGCGAGCGAGCATATATATCTGCAGTGAAAATAGGGTTGTTTTTTAAAAGCACCAACAAGGACAGGGAGACTTCAGTATAAAGGGAAGGGGAAAAAAAGAAAAAACTCCATCCTGTTATCATGGCAAGTCTCCCAGAGGCAGAGAGGCAAAGAGAAAGAGAGAGAGGCAGAGAGAGAGAGAGCAAGCGAGCAAGCACATATATTCTCATGTAGTCTTCTTTACACACAGTTAAAGCAAGCAAGAGATTGAAGGTAGCTGAAAGATCTGTTGGCCAGATATACAACCTTTCAGCCACACACAAGCATGTACACCCACACACACACACACTGTCCCTCCTCCAATTGCCCCAAGGTTGCTCACAAACCCCTTCCTGACTTTATGGCCCTTTCAAGCTTTTTTCCAAACTGTTGCGTTTTCGGGGGAGGGAGGGTCCCAGAATTTGGGGGACAGAGATGCTAAATCTGCATTCAGTGAAATGCAGAGGTCCCATTCTAACCTTCTTCACCAACACACTGTAACAGGATATAAGCTGTGGCAAAGGGGCATCTAATACATCACCAGACAGAAGCAAGATCTCCGCTTCTCCTTTCCCCACCCCACCCCTGCATTCTCCTTTACAGTCATCACACATTCATATGTGAACACACGAAGGTAGGGGGGGGGGGGGGGACCGAGCAGAGGGAGAAGAGAGGGACTTACATCGAAGTGATATTCCTAGAGATATCCGTAATGTTGATACTGGCATTTCCATTGGTGGTGCCCGAATCTTGCCCCTCTAGCAGAGGGAAAAGGTTGCCATCATCCGGTTTTTTGCAATTGATCTCGGTTTTGTTGCAAAGGCAGTTGGCAGGGCAACCCAAGACGGAAACCAAGTAGTCCCCCCAAATGCTCCAGAGCCAGAAAACCTTCCAAAAACTACATTTGGTCGGACAAAACGAGACATCCATCTTCGATTGGTGTGGCTTTATTTAAAAAAAAAAAAAAAGGAGAAAGAGAAGGGAAGATTGTGAAGGGAAATGGGGGAAGAAGAAGGGGGAGGAAGCAACGTAGAAGGAGGGGGGAAAGAGAGGTTTTAAGGGAGGGGGAGAGAGGGGGGGAAACCTCAACGAAAAAAATCAAACCACCCTCAAGCGATCAGAGCAAGAAAAAATCCTCCCGTCGTTGAAACCATGTTGGCAAAGCGGAGAGGCTGTAATTCCCTCTTACAAGAGCGGTGCGCGAGGCATAGCGGCTGGTGGAGAGATGCGCGCGCGTGTGCGGTGTGTGTGTGTGTGTGTGTATGCGCGCGTGTCCCGGTGCCTTGTTGATCCACCGTAGGCTCGTTCGCTCGCTCGCTTGCTGCTCTTCCCGAGACTTGTGAAGATTGCAACAGAAGATTCGCAGCAGCACAGCGGAGGAGGAGGAAGCGAGGGCGCGC